GTGGGAGGGCGTCATCGTCTAAAATCAAAAAAAAAACAAAATAAAAAAATAAAAACATAGGAAGTATCGTACGTCTGAAGAAACTGAACTCGTTCGAGTTGAGAGACTGCGGCTAATCAACAAGATACAGCTGACACAAGACGATGACGTTTGCTTAGGAATGGATGTGCTGGTGTTCTATGACTCCAAGTACTACACTGGTCGCATTGTTGACGAGAGTTGTGGTCACATATCTACTGCCTCTGGAAGAGTAACAAAGAAGAGAAGGATACTGAAGAAGAGTATTACCATATATATATCTGTAATCAATGTTCATCACGATGCCAAATGGAACACACTGTTCAGACTTTGATCTCATCAACAACACACTCAATACAAAATAATTCAAATAAATGCAAGAATAATCTTATCGCTCATACAACTGGTCATTGCGGCCCGCACACTCAGTTGCCAAACCTGCCGCACAAAAATGAATTCGACTCTAAGTCGATGAATCTCCCACAGGAGTTGTATGCGTGGACACCTCCACGATTAATTTGTTGTGCAATTTGAGATACTCTTCCCAAAGATCAAAGATAGCATTACATCGAGCTCAATGATAACAATAATAGTAGATATCTGGACGTCCAAAACAAAGCTATCCTTCATGGGCGTCGAGGCGGCTTTTGTTACCTCAGAGATGAGGTTAACATCTGTTCTCCTTGGACTTGAGAGCCTAGACGACCACAAAGGCAAAACAATGGCAACATCACTCTTGGAGCTCATCGGGACCTATGGAATTGAGCCAAMAAGAGTCAAGTGCATCATGGGCGATAATTGTACAGCTAATGATACTCTAGTCAACAGTTTTATCCAGGAAGCAGCCGAGCTTGGCTTTAATGTTGACCCCGAGCGTGGAAGATGCTTTGCTCATGTGCTCAACTTGTGCGCTAAGGAGCTACTTAGTAATCTCGATATGGAGCCTCATGAGATCAATGAATCAATCATTGTCAACCAACTGGAGAATGGCGAGGAAGTCAGCTCGGAGCAATTGGAGGATATTCTGGCAAGAGATGGATTCAGTGGTGGTTATGTCCAGAGGCTAAGATCCATTGTCCTGTTCATTCATGCTTCACCTCAACGGCTTCATCGCTTCAGGGCGGTCGTGGCTTCCAAAAAGAGCTTTGGAAGCCGAGCGATTCCAACTCTAGACTTTGCCGTGCGATGGAACTCTACATCAGTGTTTGAGACCGAGAATATTATACTACTCGGTTCAAATAAACGAGATATCAATATCATTCGGTTCGAATAATTCCTTACTCGGTCGTGTGGATGATCCAAGATTGAAAACGAGCTCGGTTACCCGAATATCGCCTTTAACCGATATTCGACCGGAAAACCGATTAACCGGTACTACACTGCTCATGAATACGTACAGTATGTACACTCAGTAAGACAAAAATGTTATTTTTTGATCTGATTCATCGAAAAGGCTTTTGTTTTCCTCGATATCTCGTCTCCAATTAGAGCTTCATGTATCCTGCAACTGATTGTTTCATCATCCTGCTTCAACCCAGACAACAACAACATCCACCAAGGTGACATCATCAACTTCAACAGAGACTACAAAGAAGTACAGTATTGGATGGAAACATGATATTGAACCAACCAAGACTAGTCCACTACTAACAATGCCTGTCTGTGGTTGATAATCATTAGGATCAAGAAGATGTCCAAAGGAAGCCATTTGGTCATTTCTATCAATACTATTATTTTAAGTTTCAAAGAAATGAGACTTGTGTTGTTCACTAGAGTGAAAATGCACTGTCTCACCCTCGGTTATTCGATCCGGTTTTGATTAAAAAAACAGCTGGTCGGTTCGAATAATTGAACTTCCTTCGGATTGGTAAAAGGGTCCGGTTCGGTTTATTCGGTCTCGGTTAGTCGGATATCCGAACTCGGTCTCAAACACTGCACTACATACAAGATGATCAATGCATCTCTCAATCTCAAGGAGGTCATCGACCACTTTGTCATGAATGACACGGACAAGAAGAAGATGTTGAAGTTCAAGCTTACCAATGAGGATTGGCGAAATCTTGAACAGCTCAAGAGTATTCTCTACCACTTCTACCTCTGTACCATGTATGCGGAGAATGCATCATCTGGAATCTTGGCCATTTGTTTTCCAATATTCAATTCTCTATTCCTGAAGTTGGAGAACCTTGAGAAGGACGTGACACTCGCCACCAGGCATCCGCATTTACACAGGCAGATTGGATATTCTTTGGCGAAGATGCGAGAATACTACGAAACGTTTGATGGTTCAATTCACTACATGTCTGCCTTGCTCCACCCTCTGATTGGATTCAATTACTTCGCTGAAGATCCAACTTGGAGCTCATTCTACCCGACTTACTTGCGCAAGTTCAAGGAAGAGTACATGAAGAAATACGCCGAGGTACACAAAACTTCGAGTAGAACCTCTTCAGGTTCGAGCAGTACAGAGTTTACCCCKCGTAAGCTCTTTGGAGACATCAATATCCCATCGAATCAAACTACAAGTACCGGACAACAGGCCGCCAAGAATGCAATGGAGCTGGAGTTTCAGCAATATGAACAATGTTGTAAGGATTGGAAGAATCAGATGGATGAGAGGATGAAGAGAGAAGAGGAGGAGGAAGAAAAGAAGAAGGCCGATCCAACGAGGAAACATATATATGAAGAGAAGGACGAGGATGAAGAAAATTCTAGATGCGTGGATCCATTCCCATTCTATCAGAAGTATCGTAGAGTTTTGCCGATCTTAACACTCCTAGCCAGAGACTACTTGTGTATCCCTGTCTCAAGTAGTTCAGTTGAGAGACTCTTTTCTTCTTGTGGCCTTATCTGCACAAAGTTAAGATCAAGACTTGCACCAAAGACGGTCAAATCAATAGCTTGTGTCAAGATGTGGAACAAATATTTTAACAGTTTGAAATGATGAATAACAATAAATCTACACTCTGATATATTCCAGACCATTATATAATACCATCTTTATTAACTACTTGAGATATCTTCATTTAAAATAAAAAATTCTTTTT